AGGACAATGATGTTGTATATTCATTTTTTATATTTAAGTCTCCTTTACGTAGCCTTTAAAATTTACAGGATATATATTTATATATACGGGAAAAATAATTATAAATTGAAATCATTATAGATCTATGCAAGCTACAATTGATACAATCTTTGTAAATGAAAAGATTATCTGAAAATATTCATTTTGATTTTTGTCCATTTTTATCACGAAAACAAATGCATTTTAAGAGGAGTATTGTGACAAAACCTGTCAGAAAAATGGATTTAAGTTTGGGCGATTGAACCCCATCTCCCCCCGGGACCCTCTAAAATACCGTGGTGGGGAGGGGGGATTCAATTGCCCAAACTTTAATCCATTTTTCTTCACTAAATGTTATACTAAAAATACAATGTGATATTTCCAATCGAACAGAACTGTATTCTCGCATGAAAGACTTATTTTCTTTTCATTAATTAATTTTTTGGCGAGTGTTTAGTTCCTTATTTTGGGAAAAGATAAACATTAACGATGTTGTATTGTTCGTATAAACACATTTTCCTAAATACTTTTTGTTGCAGTTTCATTTAGTGTTACTTTTAAAGTTAAAGAATGAGACAAGTTTAATCTTAAAGTTTTCTTTTTATGTTTTGTTTTAGGAGGGGCCATTGCAGCAAGGACAGAGAATAACGTTGAAAGAGGGGAGGCTGAAAGGTTTCGAGGGGAGGTGGGGAGGAAACAAGGGGAGGTGGGGAGGCAACGAGTGGAGTCAGGAGGGAGGGTAGTTACTCCTGCTCCACCCTGTACTACTCCTACAGGGGGTAGAGGGAAGTGTAGAGATATTCAAGCTTGCCCTCTCTTACTTGGTAATTATAATTTTATTAAAATCTAATATTTAATGTTGCGATGAATGCAATATTACACTTTTTCGCGTACTCGTCTGTGCGTCCTCAGTAGTGCGTCCTCTATATGTGCCGCCTAAATGTAACTCCTCAATGTGCATCCTTTATATGCATCCTCTATGTGCGTCCTCAATGGCACGTGCATCCTCATTGTGCATTCTCAATGTGCGTACTCAATATGTCTCTTATATCTGTGTTCTTACAATATGCGTCCTCAACGTGCCTCATCTATAATGTGTGTCCAAAGTGTACGTCCTCAATGTCACGTGCGTCTTCAATGTGCCTCATTAATGTGCATGAGCAAATATATAATAAAATGTATCATAATTAAACTTTTTAATATTTGGTTAATTTAATTGTAAATAATTGAATATAAATTAGAATTGATAAAATTAAATAATTTAGCTGATTTGAATGCTCTGCGAGGATCTATATGCTTTAAATCTCTATTTTCTCCTGGTGTTTGCTGTCCTGAACTTGGGTAAAATTTAACCGCTTAATATTCATTAAAGTCAATTCTTTAGTGTTTAAAATCATAAAATTTGATGATTTTCAAAATCCGAATTGTTTATTTCTTTAAAGGGACTGTTAAAGTAATTTCTATTGACTCTCCATTTTAACCTTTTCTGTAAAAAAATATCTTCATCGTTCTATCTTTTAATTTTATTTCTTGTTTCTTCTGCAGAAAACAAGAATATCATTTTTGCGCCGAAAAATATTAAAATAAACAACGCTGGAGAAAGTATAAATAAAGTTTTCTTTATTTTGAGTTGAGTTAGGTGTAAGACGACTTTTCTGGAATGTAAATAATTATTATAAGCTTTTAAATAAAATAATTAATCTTAAAACTTATGATTCACAATTGTTAATTACATTTTTGTTAGGAAGGAGTTTTGGTGTGGTGGTGCTTTGATAACAGATAGACACGTGATAACAGCTGCTCATTGCACTAAAGACAAAAATAAGAAAAGGTTTAATTTTTTAAGATCCAATTTTGTTTTGAAAAAGTTTCATTCCATTATTCTGTCCATATACAAGATAAATAATTAAACAATGAGAAAAAGTAGGTTTAATCTTTTTGTTTGTTTTTTTCTTTCAAATCTTTTCGCAAAACTTTTTGCATTTAGAACTTTTTATACTAACCTTTTTTTCCAGAAACGGTAAATACTAAAATTTCTAAGTTAACTAAACGTAAACTTTCTAAAAGAATATTTTCTTCTTTAAGAAATCTTTTTTTGATAATATCACGTTAATAGGACTGTCGGCGTAGTTTTAAGGACCCTCCTTCTAATGAATTTGCACGCCCACTTATTCCAAATAGATTATCAAGTACAATGGTGGCAACAGAGAAATGGAACAACTATACACTACGTCACAAGTGTCAAATATAACAAGGAAAACGAAATTTTCGCACATTAGTTGACATGTTTTCCAAGACTAAATAAAAAGTTAAAAATAGAAAATAAAAAACACATAAAATTGCACTTATTTCACTGTATAAGATAAACACTTTATTCTAAACTTATCAGTATATTAATAATTTCGTCGGACACAAAAACTGAATTGACACTTGTGACGTGATAATACAGCTGTACTGAGAGTGCACAAATTCTACGTTGCCATCTATTGTACTAGAATCTATTTGACTTATCCCTACTTTATCCGAGTAGACATCGACGTTCTAAAACTTTTAAAAAACAATTTTACAAAAAAATAATTTCTACTTTAGATAGAAAGCAAAGATAAGTCACTTAAAAATACGTTGGGAGTCTCTGAAAGGGACTGTAAACGTTATTTGCATATCTCCGATTAACAACAGTACCCTTTAAACCTTTATCTGAGTCATAATGAGGAAGATATCATCATTTTTCTGTCTGCAAAGGTTAATTCTGAAAGTTCCTTTCCATTGTCTCGGCTGCCATAATACCGCAAGTCAAAGCTAGACACCACAATTTAAAAACAAATTATTTTTCTACGTAAAAAATGAAGAAACTCATTATTATTGAGTACTTAAAGTTTAAAAAGGTATCGGTGTGGATCGGACAGTTCACTCTTTTAATGGGGGGGGGGGTCGAATATTTCTTTTTCCAAATCCTTTTAAAACAGTTTTTTTTTCAGTTTTGCTCCATCACAGTTCACAATTCGTGTCGGAGAATGGGATTTGAGTGATGACGACAACTACTCAGTTGAACTTGATGTTCAGACTTACGAGGGAATAAAAACATTTTAACATTTACTCGAGTTCGAAACTTATGTTTTGTTAATCCGGAATTCAAGATTAAATTAAACTGATTCAAAGGTTTTCGAAAACTGACCAATAAGAAGTTTCAAGTCTGCATCTTAATTGCTTCAAAGTCAAAGCTAGAAGGGTTGCAGATTAGTGCTAGCTGATACAAAAGTAGCTACGAACAGAAACTATTCAACAATGTAAATAAAATTTCCCAAGACAACAAAAACTGCCAAATTGAAAAAAACGCAATTTTTTGGACACCTTGTATCAAAATTTTCTGATGGTTTTATGTTTCCGTTTTAATGAATGTTTTTATACGTGGGCAGGCTCATCCTAACTTCAGGAAAACTTCATCATTATCAAACTTTTTCACATTACAAAATGAAATATTGTGACAGAATTTCATTTCTCAAAAATGTTGCAAACTTATTTTTCCTACAATCTTTTCAAGTTGACGTGTTTTTTTATTCTTTTTTTATTTTTTAAATTCTTAAAAATAAGTATTGATATTTTGAGCAGGCCTAATGGATTCTACAACGATGTGGCGGTTTTTACGCTGAAAGAACCGGTGGCGTTTAACGAGTAAGTTGCGAAAATAAACGAAATTTTATCGTAACAGTATCTCAAGATACCAACATTATAGTGAAGTTATTATATTATCAAATAACTTGACAGAAAAAGAAATAATTATACAGCTGCAATTAGTGATGTGACTTCAGTCGGATCGTTTTGCTTATATCTTTTTCAAGGTCAAAATTTGGCAAAGTGTAATAGAAAATGTGTTTTAAATTATTTATTCTAAACTTTGTCTTTTCTTCCTTTAAGTATAATTTTGTTCTTGACGGAAGATTATACACTGTACACACAAAACGACCCAAAAATGATCCAGAAGCGATCGTTTAGACATAGTAACAATCGTTTTTCCAATATTAATATTTGAAAATAAAGATATTGCAAAGTTTAGTAAAAAAAATTTAATCAAAGAACGATGGCAAAAAGGCTAAATACATTTTGTACATTCGTCTCTGAAGTTTACTTGTTTGTGGGTAACCCTGTATGCTACAGAGTGTCCCACATCACATTGGATCGTGTTATAACTTTAAATTGCGATTTCCGGGACTAATCAGAAAATCTAAAAAGAACGAATCATTAAAAAAATGTATATCACTAATATAAAAATTTGCATGCAGAAAATGCAAAGTTTTTTAGTATTATTTGCGTATTTTGGCGTTATAAGCTTGGTGATAATCTAATATGATATGGGACGCTCTGTATACATAAACCACGGTTGTATAATAAGGCAGGTTACTCTCGATGCGCTCCAATTACGGGAAATGTCGCCTCCTTAGCATAGATCAAATCCGCATATGACGTCACTGTCGCCTCTGTAATCAGTAACGTCATATACGTATTTTATCTATCCTAGGAGACGACATTTCCCGTACAATGCATTGGAGCGCATCAAGAGTTATCAACCTTATCATACAACCTTGGATCTGTATAATAATCTATTTCAGGTATATCCAGCCACTTTGTTTACCTGTTGGTAAACATTCAAACCAGTTGTTTACCAATTATTTACCCCTAGCTCTAGGTTGGGGTACAACACACTATGACGGAGAGGTAATTATATCTTCGCAACCTGATGGTGTAAATATTTCAAACTTTGACACTTTATCCGTAAACAGAAACACAGTTTGAAATAAGAAAATTTTTCTTCGACATCAGGTCGCAAAGATATGAGGATTACAAAATTAGAGTAAAAATTCCTTTGAAAACAGAGATGTTTACGAATTTAAATAAATCTGTAAATCCTATATCCGGGTTCTGAATTGGATCCACGAAGGTTTCACAAAACATCCGGGATCCGGGTCCGGATTAAAATATATAATTATCATTCCAACAGATGATTATTTAAATGTTAATCATTAAATTTTTAAAAAAATAAAGAAAAAAAATATAATCAAAAGAAAACAAATTGCAGATTATAAAAATTAGAACTTGTAACATGAAACTAAATTCTATATTTAGAGAGAAAATAGTTTTTAGGAGGAATCAACTTATCTTAAACTGTAATAAATTACGGTGTAAAAACCCAGACAGGAGGTCATCGTTCCTTTTCCTGGAAAACTGATTTTAAACCAGTATACAGTCCTAGCTAGAAAACTGTGGAATAGGGACGTTAAAATAATGTTTGGTGTATTTGGTTTTTACAAAATCATATTTTTAGTGAAATGGGTCTGTTTGCACTGCACAGATGTTGTGTCTCATGTTTATTGGACCACTTAAAGTCATAATTTGAATCTTAAAGTTGTCTTCCTATTCCAGAGTTTTTTGGTTTTGTAATTTTTCTTCACATGGCGACAATTATTTGTTTGTTTGGTTAGGAAGTACCCATTTTGAGAGGAGTTCCCTTACCAGTCTGGACAAATGAAGATTGCAATAAATCTTATTTTCAACCGATAACTGAGGTCATTATTACTATTATAATCGTACAAAGCTGTGTTCATGTATTAAAATTCCCTTTAAAAACAAAGTAAGTGCATGGGGATGGGGTGGAGGGGGGGGGGGGGTGCTCAAAACACCCAAAATCATTCAAATTCTAATAATTTATCGTATTGAAAAAGATAACCACAACAGGGTCCACTATTTTTTCCATTGCAAAATAGGGGACCTATCGAAAACGTAATGGAAATATGAGCTGGCTAAAGGGAATGCACGCCAAATTTCCATGGATCCTCCATGGCAAAGATGACGATGCCCGAATTGCAATAGTACCTTTGAAACCTTCATCTAATTAAGTATGAAATATATATATATATTCATGTTTTTGTTTCTCTAAACTGTTTAATTTCTTTTGTGGTTTTATTGCAACAGGGACTTGCACATTTCTTACTTAGAAGAAAATATGGAGGAATTATCAGAAATCAACACCTTTCGAGTAAGAAAAATGGCGTTATTTTCCAGATTTTTAAATAGATTTGTATTCCAAGGGTACCGTTGTAAATCGGGCAATGCTATCTTTGCATGGAGTGCCACTGGGTCAGCTAAAACTTCGCGTACAGTCCCTTTAAAGAAAGTAAAAGTGTTTTATGTCAGGTATTCCTGTGTGCTGGTTATGCAGATGGAGGCCGAGATGCTTGTCAGGGGGATAGCGGGGGACCACTCATGCTTTTTGACGAAGAATCTTCAAGGAAATCAGAACTATTATTAGAAATTTCAAATAATTAAACAGTCGTCGTCGCATATATCAATATTATGAAGACAACTTTCGATTTTTATCAAACTTTTAAACAACATGAACATGGAAACAAAGAAAAGCTTTTGTTAAATTACGTGTACACTTTTAATTCGAAAAAAACTTGTTAACAATCAAAACTTGAATAAAAAAGTCGTCTTAATTGTATTGATATGATTGCCGACCCTTGAGATACGAAGAATTTAAATACACTTTACAAAATCTGAACGTTTACAACGATGAGTATGAGTTTGTGTATCAATAAGCTGTTNAAGGGATTTTTGATTTACGAAAATAAAAACACATTTTAAAATTCGACTTTATATTAACTAACCACTATTTATAACTCTTGTGCACATTTTGATATTTTAACCACGAGAAAAATGTTCAATTTCCGGCCAAAAACTTAAAGTTTTGACTTAATAATATCTTTGCTTAATTAGTTGGATGCTGGTCGGGATTGTAAGTTTTGGGAATAGATGTGCAGAACCAGGAAAATATTTTTAAACAACAAAAAATTCTTTTTTTTTCTAATTTTGAGGGATTAGAAAATAGATAAGAAAAACTTCAGTAATTTTCAATTAAGAGAATGCCGCCGTTTACTCACGCGACTGTTCCCTTTACATTTTATCCGAGGAGATATCGTCGTTCTTATTAAGGGCAGGTTTCAACCATTTCTTTAGAAATCCACGGGTCCATTTCTGGAGATTGAACAATGAAAACTTTAGAAATTCATTCCTCAGATAAAGATTTAAATATTAAAAGATTTAGATGAATATTTAAATATTTGATTATTTAAAGATTTGATTATTTTTGTAATTTCAAAAACCTGATTATTTTCAATTGCGATTTCTCTATAAAAATGACTTGCGCATTTCTACAGCAGTGGAAAAAAAGTAAAACACTTTTAAACCTAGAAAGTCGACAATATCTTCCTTATTATTAATTAGAGAATCTGGCATTAGCATCTTTACATGAAGGTTCAATGGAAAATATCTATTTAATTTAATACAAATGAAAACAATTGAATCTCTGTTACAGATTAAAATTTTCTAATTTCTATATCTTTGGAACCTGATGGTGTAAACCTTTGATATTTCAAACTTATATTATTTAATCAAACAGAATGCATTGTTTGAAATATTCAAGGTCTGCAATTTTGGGTTGTTAAGATTTATGATTTAGAAAATCAGAGTTTGTGGAAAAGACTCAATTCCTTTAATCCTCTATCTGAATTTAAACAATTCATTTTACAAAAAGCTCTTAAAATTAAAATTTTGAAAATATTTTGTGTACAGGGTATCCCGGAGTATACACTAGAGTTACACATTTCCTAGGTAACTCATTAAACAATTAATAAAATTATAAAATTTAATTTTAGTTTTAATTTTGATTTGATTTGGTTGTCAAAGGAGGATTAAAATATTGCCAATTTAAAAAAGCAAAGTTTAAGTTGACATTTAAGTTTTTTCTTACAGTTCCAAAAAACCACCGATTAACAACCCTAGCCGCAACTCTCGGTTCCATATATTTTGTTCCTATGCAGATCAAACAAAATCAAATGAAGCGGAATTTAATGATTTCTATTTTTTCAGACTGGATTATAGACAAGATCAACGAGTAAAGGAATTCAAATAAAATACATAAATCATATTTTCATACGGTGGTATGGTAGGCGATTATATCAATATAGTGATAACAGCTTTTGATTTCGATTTTATCAAGATTTTAAATATCTGGATACACAAAAACATGGAAACAAAGAGAATCTGTCAATAAAAAATCTTTTCTTTTATTTATTGTAAACTTGTAATTCAAAATAATTGCTTGTTAGTAATCAAAACTCAACAAAAATGTCGTCTTTATGATTTTAACATAATCGTCGATACCACCATAGAAACTTTAATTGTAATATTGTAAGACAGAATATTTTTTGGGTGAAATATTTTAAACTGCATTAATTATGTTCAAGAAGAAAACTAATATTTTAAATAATATAATGTAAAATGTAACATTTTTATCTTAAAAATTTCTGTCCTCACAATTTGCTTTATTTGTTTTTAATGTTTTTTGTTAAATATTTGTTACTTTTTGCCTGTGACTGTGTATAGGGGGCCGGGTATAATGAAAACTCCTTGTATCTTTGTTAATCTGATGGCATTATTAAACGAGGGTGTATATCGACTTTTGATATTTCCAAAAACCATTTGTTAAATTTATATATTTTCGGAACAATTCTTTATCAAACTGCCACGGGGAGGGGTCGCTTTGATTCTGATCTATTCTAAACCCACTACCCACGGTTCCACACTGTGACACAACAGCGACCAAAACTCAAGAAATACCAAAGTTTGTAAAATTAATTCAGAACTCAAAATGACCCAGTTATAAGAATGACGCTCGCGGACTGATTCCGTCCTTAGAATTCATTTCATTTTGATGACATCCAGACCTCGGATCCACCTCGGGAAAAAAGGTCCAGATCCGGGTCCTTCACACTTCCAAGATTTGCTGCTTCTTATAAATGAAAATTATTATTTTTTTTTCTGTCCGTTCACTAACTGTGGGTTGTCGAAATCCACTCCCGCAGGGATGTTTTGTATAATTTTAAAAATAACACATCCGTTGGAGGGAGGGAGGAGAGGGAATTTTTTGATGAGTGGAGAAAAAAAATATTCTTTTGATCCTTTCCTCCCTTAAATTCATCATTTAATTTTCCCAATTCAGCGAAAAAACCCCTATTTATTTTGCACATTAACCTAACTTCTGAAGAGAAAAAAAGATTTTCCAAGAGGGGTGAGGGACAGAACATGAAAATATATACTCCCGAGAGAGAGAGTTATAGATGGGCAGAATTAATGTATGTAATCTAATTTGAGTTTTAAAATCAACCAGTTCAAACAACAAAATCTGCCAAATCTTAACTTAACACTTTTTATTATTGGCAGAGAAAAATGGTTGCAAGTAAATCAACGTTAAAATTATAAAATTTTCATCCAAGCTTACATATTAACTAACTAATCTAGTGAATATTCAGGATTTATTTAATTTTTTATTTATTTTTTCCTTACTGGCACAAAACATGTCTTTACAGGTACTGACGCAGAAGAGTTTTCATGGCTTTTAAAAATTCATGAGGTTCTTATTTATTCTTTTATGTAAAACTTTTAACATGTCTAAATAAAACATTTTTTTAAAGACATTATTGAGCTTACAACTTAATTCAAGAACATTTTAACTATCTCCAGCTCGAAATTTAGAGAAGCAATGTAAAAAAATCATCAAACAAAAAGTTATCTACGCTTTACATGGCAAAGATAGATAAAAAACCAGTAGATACATTGACCATAGTACACTTTACAGTACACTTTGCAGTACACTTTGCAGTAAACTTTGCAGTACACTTTGCAGTAAACTTTACAGTACACTTTACAGTACACTTTACATTAAACTTTGCAGTACACTTTGCAGTACACTTTACAGTACACTTTGCAGTACATTTTACACAAGTAAAATACTTGGCGTGGATATTTTCAATATTTTCTTCAAAATATGAGAACAAAAAGTTTACACCACTCTGCATAGTTTACACAAAATGTACATAAATGTACAATTGAGACTAAGATGGTGAATACTCTGTTGTACGATGTACAATGTACACAATTCGTGATCATAAAAGATATTGCTGGACACTGAAAATACGATTTCTCAAAATATATCTCGAGAATTTAAGAAAAATTGTACTTCAACGGACAAGTTTCTTTCTCAATCCCAACATTTAATTATTTTACCCAATTTAGTAAAAAGACCCATTTATGGAAAATTTGTTGGGAAAATTATCGTTAAAGCGGAAAGGAGAAATATTTCAAGTTGAAATAAAACATCGGAACACGTCTTAACATTGAGAGTACTTTCAGTGTAGCTGCATCCCACAGTACATGGTCAAAACATGAAAGAAATTAGACGAATCAAACCAAGATAAAAATAAAGATAACTGCATGAAACAAAATAAAGAAGATACAGAAAATGCACATGTTGTAAAGGGACAATTTTATGCTTAGCAAGAGATAAGTTTGGGCCAGTGCTTGATCCATCCTTAGTCAACGTTCATTTGATCCTTGATCCATCTCTAGTCAACGTTCTTGTCAACGTTCATATGATCCTTTAGGAACTTTGTCATTCCAAACCCTCGGAACTTCTTGGTCGGGATAATCTAAATATTTATTATTATTAATATTAAGCGTCTTAAAATACATGTGCACTGTGCAGGGGTGTATATACTTATCTGTTTCCCCGGGGGTATCAAATTAAGACAACAGTCTCCTAAATGAAATTAAGAGAACAGTCCTTTAAATCAAATTAAGACAACAATCTCTTTAATACAATTAAGAGAACAGTCCTTTTAATGAAATTAGGGGAACAGTCTCTTTAATACAATTAAGAGAACAGTCCTTTAAATCAAATTAAGAGAACAGTCCTTTAAATCAAATTAAGACAACAGTCTCTTTAATACAATTAAGAGAACAGTCCTTTAAATCAAATTAAGAGAACAGTCCCTTTAATACAATTAAGAGAACAGTCCTTTAAATCAAATTAACACAACAGTCTCTTTAATACAATTAAGAGAACAGTCTCTTTAATAAAATTAAGAGAACAGTCTCTTTAATAAAATTAAGAGAACAGTCCTTTAAATCAAATTAAGACAACAGTCTCCTAAATGAAATTAAGAGAACAGACCTTTAAATCAAAATAAGACAACAGTCTCTTTAATACAATTAAGAGAACAGTCCTTTTAATGAAATTAGGGGAACAGTCCCTTTAATAATTAAGAGAAAGGCCCCAATAATAAATTTGAACAAATTACCTTTGAAAGTTTCTCGTCACATTTAATCATCTGCTTGTTCTTAGGATCCTGGAGATTATTATCCTTGATATACTTCCACATCCTTTTAACAACCTTAACATTATAAACCAGTCAGTAGGGTTATATATTATACATTTTACCGGCCTTTCACCAACATTACCCATTTAAGATATAGTAATTACTTAACGTCCCTTGGGACAATTAAGTAAAATAACTTCCCGCTCTGGCTCTGCAAATTTTCATCTTACAATTGCGTTCAATTACATTTTCGGGAAATTTAAATTTTTACTTAATCACGGCTTCCCTCGAACAGTATACTTCTCTGCCATTGGTGATAGTTCTGGTCACGTGATTTAAGTTTCAGATTTTCTAAATTTTACATATATGAACTTTCGTATAATTTTAACACAGTTTTATATCAATTTCTCGAGACAGGAACATAAGATAAAACTTTCATGGGTCTCGATCAAGAGCTAAAGTGATTAGCCTTCAGCCCATACCAACTTTCATTTTTTCTTTACAGTCCCTTTAAGGTGGGAGTGAAGTTATGAATTTAAAGTATTAAAAAAGGAAAAAGAAACTTGCCACTGAAAGCCAGTTTTTTTCTTTAAAGCGCATTATCATTTTAGCACTAAGTAAAAAAATCACTTATTTTTAAATGAACTAACATTCGACTAAAAGAAGATATTTTATTAATAAATATTTAGCAAACAAGAAAATTTAGAAAAAATAAATTAAAATTCGACAAAAACTAAACTTTTTAAATAAGCAGATCATACCTCGTGTCTGGGCATATTATCCCCTCCAACAATGTCCGCTAGGTCAGCTGACAACTGTACAGGAGCAACATATCCTCCCTTCGCTAGAAATCAATTGTTGTCAGCAAAATGTATACAGGGGTGTATATTTTCTTGAAAAAAATGTCAAGGTCTTTTTTCGTTGAAATGGAGAAAATAAATTAATTTAAAGGGGGAAAGTGATTTTGAATTTAAAAACTCAAATAGGATGAAAAACTTGCCATTTAATGTCTAATTTTTCATTTATTCTCCATAGGACGGATTTATTCTACGTTGATGATCAGAAAACGGTTTAAAGGGGATCGTTGTGAATGAGACATGCCAGTCTATCAAGAGGAAGGTCACATAAAACTATGTCTACTGTCATGGCTGTCCCCCGAAAAGTTAAAATCCTGAAAAAATATTTACCTCCGCCTGCTGGCGCTTTTCTTTTCTTCTTAGGTTTTTCGTCTTCAGAATCGTCATCACTGTTTGCCCTCTTCTTCTTAGCACCACCCTAAATATACCACGCGGTCATGCGCGTCCACGCGGTCATATAATGTACCGTAGTCACAGTTCTTTCCGGTCACGTTTGACCTGGGCTTGGGGGTAAAATGGGTACATATCCCAATCCCACCCTTTCGTTTTCAAAACTTCTGATCTAAAATTGTTAATTTCGGGCATAGTTCATTATGTTTCGCATCTTGACGAGAGTTAAATGTCTATGGGTGGTGAAAAAAAGTGCGAACTGTAAACTTTTAAGTCTAAACATTTTGATTTGAATTTATCAGAGGGAAGAAATTTTTAGCTTTTCTCTCGAAGGGAATGTTGTAATTGCAAGTAACCCTCCAATTAAAGAGTTTCAAGCCCAATCTTAATGGGTAATGGGTATTCTAGCAAAACTTATTGTTGTAACAAGGGTACTCTTGTTAATCGGGCATGTAATTCTTTCTTTTTCACTTGATTCTAATATCTACCTTTTTCTTTTTGGATGAGCCCCATTCCTCTCCGCTGGACTCGTCATCTGAGCCTCTTTTCTTCCGCTTCGGTGTTCCGGCAGACTTACGACCTCCTTTCTTCGGCAACTACAAAATAATAAGGGTATTTTTCAGTCTTCTCTAAATTGATCATTTATTTCAGTGCTTAGGAAACATTTAATTTGTATGCAGATCCAGATCCTGGATCCGGGCTGGAAAAAAATTGATCCAGATCCAAGTTATCTCTTTAAAATTTACTAATTTTTTTTTAACAAAGCAGAGTTTTTTAAATGTCTTATTTTTATCTCTTATTTATATGCTAAAACTTAATGAGCCATTCTCGTAATCAGGAAATTTTTATAATCTCTCTTTTTCCAATAGTTCAGATTTGGGTTTTGGATTAATTTTTTTTTTTTGCAGTTTTTGGTTAATATTTTGCTCCTTTGAACAGGATTCGTGGATCCGCATGTTTTTGCGGATTCGGATCCAGGAAGCCAAAATCTTGAGAATCCTAAGCACTGATTTATTTTACGTATAAATTTTACTTATAAATGCTTAGGATCCGGAACATTTTGGCTTCCTCGATCCGGATCCGAAAAAATATGCGGATCCACGGATCCGGATTCAAGGAGCAAAATATCGATAAAAAAGCTTTTTACCCTTTAAACTCAAATCTGAGAACGAGATTATCAAACATTTTTATCGCTGAATGGTTAAAGTATAAGCCTAAAAATAAAGAAAAAGCGAGAAAAAAATTAACAAATTTTTTTTGTTTTATTCAAAATATCAGAAAATCAATCAATTTTCCTGACCGGTATCCGGATCCATTTTTCCAGTGCGGATCCAGGATCAGGATCCGCATCAAAATTAAATGGATCCTAAGCACTGGATAAATTTGAAATATTTATCATTCTCAGCAAAATAAAACTGAACATAAATGTATTCGATGTGCAAAGAAAGAATGCAAAAAGTTACTAAAAAAATAAAAATAGACAAGAAAAGTTTTTTTAAATAAAGATTCTAAAAAAAGTCCAACAAATTGATACAAAAAAGTTTGCTTTTAAATTTCAATATCGTGTTTTCTCCTACTAATGTACATTTAGACAAGGTCCCTGGAGAAAAATCATAAATTCATTTTACAAAAATTATTTTTTACCCCAAACAGCGATTATTACTATTTTACTAAGAAACAGTTCAAACATTAGAAACTCTTTAATACTAAGTAAGCTATTTAAATAAAAAACCAATAAATGAGATCAATAACATTAAGAATAGAAGATAAAAACACTGATTTAAATAAAACAAAGAAAGGCAATTTTAAAATATTTACTGTAAACGTAAATTGTGAAATTTAAAAAATATCAATGAATTAAAAAACATCAATGAATTTAAAAACATCAATGAATTAAAAAATATCAATAAATTAAAAAAACATTAATGAATTAAAAATATCAATCAATGAATTAAAAAACATTAATAAATTAAAAAATGAATTAAAAAACACCAATTAATTAAAAAACATCAATGAATTAAAAAACATCAATGAATTAAAAAACATCAATGAATTAAAAAACATCAATGAATTAAAAATATCAATCAATGAAATAAAAAAACATTAATAAATTAAAAAACATCAATGAATTAAAAAACATCAATGAATTAAAAATATCAATCAATGAATTAAAAAAACATTAATAAATTAAAAAACATCAATGAATTAAAAAACATAAATTAATTTAAAAACATCAATGAATTAAAAAACATCAATGAATTAAAAAACATCAATAAATTAAAAAACATTTATGAATTAAAAAACATCAATGAATTAAAAAACATCTATGAATTAAAAAACATCAATGAATTAAAAAACATCAATGAATTAAAAAAAACATCACTGAATTAAAAAATCTATGAATTAAGAAACGTCAATGAATTAAAAAACATTAATGAATTAAAAAACATCTATGAATCAAAAAACAACAATGAATTAAATAAAAAATTAAGAATTATTAACATCAATGAATTAAAAACATTAATGAATTAAAAAACATCTATGAATCAAAAAACAACAATGAATTAAATAAAAAATTAAGAATTATTAATGACTAGAATTAGAAAAGCAAGGGATTCAACATTCTGGGAACATTTAACAACATTCTGTTTTAAATGTGGACTTACTTATTTGGACGCCCTGATGATGAAATACAAACATTTAACAACATTCTGTTTTAAATGTGGACTTACTTATTTGGACGCCCTGATGATGAAATACAAAGAATGGACGATAAAGAACACGCTAGTAAAGGGACTATAAGCGTAATTTCAAGCGACTCTCCACGGAAAAGAGCAAAGTCCGATTCACAACGCACAGTGCCCTTGATACTTCTTTTTGGCCAATAATGTTGCAGATATTGTCTTTTTCTAGGTTTAAAAGTGTTAAATTGTGATATTTCGTTGAAATGCGCAAGTCACTTTTGGAGAAAGTCTGAATAGCCAAAATTGTGAATAATTAATTTTGAAACTTATCACCATTTATTCTTGAATCAAAGAAGCTGGTACCGTTTTGTATCAGGCATTGCCATCTTTGCATAGATATAGTTACTTGAAATTACGCTTATAGTAAAATACCTTAACGAATATACTATTATTGAGGACACAGTAATGACGCACAAACGTGTAACATACAAACAATGTAGGTTTATACAACAGTATTTAGGATTTAATATACCTTGATTGGTTCATCGGGTTCATAGTCAGATCCACCTCCGTCACTCGGAGCTTCATCCTCTTCATCCTCGCTACCAGATACACTTTCAGACCGCTTTCTAGCAACAGCAGCTTTCTTTCTAGGCTTTACTTCCTGATCCAAGGACAAATATTTCAAAAATGTGGTATTTAAAAATTTAAAGAGAGTAAAAATATTTAATTCACTCTCAACTCAAATTTAATATATACAATGGTATATTTTCAAAGATGACGGAAATACTTGGATTATCTATTAGTGAATTGACAACTAGCGACCGCGACTAATTATAAATTTTTTTTATGTTTGTTCATTTGACTAATTATAAATTTTTTTTATGTTTGTTCATTTTCCTCTTCTTCTTCCTCTTCTTCCTCCTCTTCTTCTTCATCTTCTCCTTCTCCGTCCTCCTGAGTTTGTTCGTCAATGACCTGAACATGGTTTTAATTTTATACTTTACTTGGCTAATTCTATTTTATATTCTAGTTGTTGCTCAATCTTTCAGCATTTTCACAATAATAATTTTTTTCGTGGATTCTAAAAATTTTACAAAAAAAAATTTGAAGACACATTTTTGTAATTATGAGCATTCATAAACCTTTCCTGGGGTTATTTGAGGTGCCACAAAAAATGTTGTCCCAATCGGTTCAGCATTTTTGACGCTTATCTTTTACATACAAACAAGCTTGAACAGACAAGCAAAGTATTTATATTACAATATATACTAGCTGAAGGGGCCGGCGTTGCCCGTGAAAAAAAACCCCNAAATACTCTTTGCTTTCAAAACACAAATCTCAACTTCCTACTAATGGGATATTGCTTTAAACTTCTAAATCTCTGCTGGTCCAAGTTTCAGCATAAAGAAAGAAGGAAAAACCAAAAAACTTTTTACAAAAAAATTATATATTAGGGGTGAAAATCATTTTAAGAATTACATACCATCCCCCAACGGCGGCGAAATGCAATGGATCCTAAGCACTGTAGGAAACGTGAATGTTGTATAAACTACTGTAGGAAACGTGAATGTTGCATAAACTACTGTAGAAAACGTGAATGTTGCATAAACTACTGTAGGAAACGTGAGTGTTGCATAAACTACTGTAGGAAACGTGAATGTTGCATGAACTACTGTAGGAAACGTGAATGTTGCATAAACTACTGTAGGAAACGTGAATGTAGCATAAACTACTGTAGGAAACGTGAATGTTGCATAAACTACTGTGGGAAACGTGAATGTTGCATAAACTACTGTATGAAACGTGAATGTAGCATAAACTACTGTAGAAAACGTGAATGTAGCATAAACTACTGTAGGACACGTCAATGTAGCATAAACTACTGTAGGAAACGTGAATGTTGCATAAACTACTGTGGGAAACGTGAATGTAGCATAAACTACTGTAGAAAACAGTGAATGTTGCATAAACTACTGTAGGAAACGTGAATGTAGCATAAAATACTGTAGGAAACGTGAGTGTTGCATAAACTACTGTAGGAAACGTGAATGTAGCATAAATTACTGTAGAAAACGTGAATGTTGCATAAACTACTGTAGAAAAGGTGAATGCTGCATAACCTACTGTAGGAAATGTGAATGTTGTATAAACTAATGTAGGAAACATGAAAAATGTATTAACTACTGTAGAAAACGTGAATGTTGCATAAACTGCTGTAGGAAACGTGAATGTTGTATAAACTACTGTAGGAAACGTGAATGTTGCATAAACTACTGTAGGAAACGTGAATGTTGCATAAACTACTGTAAGAAACGTGAATGATGCATACACTATTGTAGGAAACGTGAATGATGCATAAACTACTTTAGGAAACGTTAATGTTGCATAAACTACTGTAGGAAACGTGAATGTTGCATAAACTACTGTAGGAAACGTGAATGATGCATAAACTACTGTAGGAAACGTGAATGTTGCATAAACTACAGTAGAAAACGTGAATGTTACTTAAACTGGTCTATTAAGACCAGTGATGTGAATATTGCGAACTTTTGGTTTACAGTGACAGGCCAAATAATTTCAAGCGACCCATAAAAGACTCCCGACGATGTATAATTTTAAGGATAAATGATACGAAATAAACAAAAACTAAAAGTTTCAACGTTTTCTCTATTTCAATATCTGGCGGATATATGCAGCACAGACGAGGAAAGTAACATAAAGAATTATTCTTATTTTAAGAAAAACAATGCATGATGCGTTCTTTTTCTGATAACAGGAAAAATGTTGAGAGGTACTTGAGTGAATTGAGCAACGTACTTTAAAAATAAAAAGTTCACTTAAACATAAGTCAATTGAAAGAACCCAGAGGTTAGTGACTGCAGGGACCCAATGACAAAAGGGTATGGAGAATATGGAGTCTGAATGTTCTAACCTTCTTTGCTGAAGTATTGTCTAAGTCTGCATCCTTCAATATCTCCTGAATCTCCTTCTTTAAATCCTCTTTACTTATGTCAGACATCTTGTTTCAATGAGTCTAAACGTTGCACCCTACACAAATCTGAAATATAAAAAAGTTTCAAAATCTGTAAAATTATATCATTACACTCGTTACACCCTACACAAATCCATGTAATACAAAAAGTTTAATAACATTTAAAATCATATCGTCACAATTCCTACACAAATCTGAAATCTAAAGTTGCAAAATATGAAAAATTAGGCAATTTCCTAGAGCACTCTCTAGGATGGACCCCATTTTTTTGCAACTAAATTAAAAACTACAGAAACATTCCGAAACATCTAATTTTACAATTACGAATATATACAACAATTATAAAATGTATCGCTATTTAAATTTATTTCATATGTCATTCTAAACTAAATGCATTATATTTGTAATAATCCAGGAAAGTTTTATTCGCCAAAATAACACAAATACTGACTCTCACAAAATTTGAATACATCACGTAATTTACTTTCAGTAATCCTGTTGAGTTGTTTATTTTATTTGTTAAAAGCTGTGAAAATAGTAAATACCGGTGAAGCGTCGTCAACTAGAGTCATCTGTGTCAGTTCTCCGAACTAAATATTTTATGTCGTCGTTGTGTAGTACAATTATTTTCTTTTTTTAAATATAATTAGGATAAGGATGGTTTAGAAAAATAAAACTAAAAAGAAGGCGACCTAATTTTGCGTATTTTCAAAATCCCTTCACGATTTCCTGGACCTCCTTCTTAAGTTCCTCTCCTTCCTATCTATCTATCTATATCTTCTCACTCAGTTCATTCAGTGCATAAATAATGAGAACGGTAGGTCCCCGTTCTTACTTTTCGCCAAATATCAAGCAGGATAACAAAACAGTTAAAGAGTTCTCTAGACCGGGCCGGACGTGTCCTGGACCGCACAGCACCTCGCAAAGTCGTGACGGTACGGTAACCGAATTCTGCTCACTGCTGAGATAAGTCATGCCAGTACACTCACAATCCTATCGTTGCCATCTGTTGCGTCAGTATTGCAAGAGCTCTAATTATGTTCTGGTTTCCTGGCACGGGAGATTCCCCTAGTGAAAGCGTACCTCCGGAATCTAGACAAGTTTCAATAATTCAAATAAATCATTTAGGGTCAGGGGGCAAGGCAAGGGCGCCAAGCGCAACAAATTTTTTTAAGGGAGGGGGGAGGCAATTTGATATAATTATATTCAAGTTTAAGCTCAAGTTTTAAAGGTACGTTACCATGCTAGGTATATAGTAAGAAAATGATATAACAGAGACAGCCTTGCATGTCTCTGCTTAGGAATGAAAAAAAACTTTTCCTAAAAAATCTACATTTCACTATTTTCAAATTCACTCATATGATGAGCATATCTATGATCATGCTTTAATAGGACTTTTTTAAATGAAACTTAGCCAGCAGGCCAGCCTTGAACTTAACATATCTATGAAATGAAAAAATTATGATATGCTATAGATATATGGAATATAAAGATGGGCGGATAAGATGGGGGGGGGGGGGCTGGGCCCAGGCCCCCTGAGCTCTTGGGGACCGCCCTCCTCCCCCTTAAGGAAATTCATGTGATATGAAAGAAAAGCAATGTATGAAAGATTCAACAAAATAGAATTAAATATATGCTCTGAAATAGGCCCAAATTGTTGTCTCATCTTATATAATTTGTCTGTAAAAAAACTACAGATAGAAATTGTGGGAGCCGGAGAACAGAAGTTTACAGATAGGAATTGTGTGAGAACCATGGAGGAGGGAGGAAAGGCAACCTCCCTGGCACAGCTTCCGAACCTCTTTTTACCTATTTGCGGCAGTGCTTGTCCATAGAGTGGTGGTGTATTTTTCGACCTGCACATATCCGCCATACTCCACTTCTGACCTACGCCAAATCCGCTATACTACACATCCGACCTACTAGCACGTGGTATTACAGCTGCTATATGGACTTGTGGCCGCGGCGCTCGGCCCCCTAGCCTGTCCTAGCCGCAGCGCTCGGCCCAGAAATTGTCTTAACCTAACCTAACCCTCAAATAATACTAAAATAAACAGCTGGCGTAGGTCCGATATTGCAGTAGGTCGGAAAGTTAGTAGGTCAGAAGTTCAGTAGGGGGGATGTTGCGTATAGACGATGTAACATTACCCCCTAGAGTCCCTATAAGTCTTCCGAACCTCCCCCAAACTGTCTTCCAGAATTGATCTTCTGTTTACAATCGTCAATTTCTACTTTAAATTAACGGGACTAATTTGATAATTTAAGCACGGTAGTTTACCTATAGTATCTTTAACATTTTCATAATATTTTTATTTCCTTGAAGTTTGAATCTTTTTTACAATCAAAGTTTGGACTCAGAGGCGGAAATAGTGGGGCAACTTTGCGGAGTTGTAATCCCTGCTATATAGGTGTAATTAATTACCTCCAGGATTCCAGGGGGGGGGGGCACTGTGAACTAAACAGAAAATGAAGGTCAAATTTATGCGATATTACTGGTACGACTTTGTGACCTTGTAGCTCCTCTAGTTTTTATTCTTTGCACATGTATGAGAAAACAGATTTACCCGAACTGAAAACTTTAGAATGGGATATCCTTAATCCCGATCTGTCGACTAGTATCTGAAGATTACATTCATGAGGAAAACAAGCCATATTTAATCTGGATATTAAGAAAAAGAGAGTGGATTAATCATTAATCCTGATATCCACCATTCTAAAGTTTTCAGCTCCGATCACATTAGAAATTTAAAACATTTTTGTTCTTTTTTCAATAGCTCTTCAATAAGAGGAGTTAAGATTAAAAACATAAATAAGATTTACAATTTACGTGGAAATTCAGGGGGATAAATAAGAATTCCGTAGGGGGGGGGGGGGGGTTTT